GCAAGCGCTTTGCGCCACGAGAACGAGTGAACGCCATGCGCCACGAAAACACGCGAACGCCATGCGCCATGAACGCCAAGTAAACGCAACGCACACAGAAAAGAAGAAGCGATCGCGATTTGCCGCAAAAAGATGCGAGAGCTATGCGCCGCGAATACAATAAACGCTAGGCGCCGCGAAAAGAGGCGAACACTATTCGCAAACGCTAATCGCCACGAAAACGACGCGACGACGACGACGACGACGACTGCGACGAGATAGGCTTCGCTAGTTAAATACGAAAAATGCCCCCGCCATCGGCGTCCTCATCTTGCCGCCGCTTCGGGGCCCACTTGATTGTTGCGACCAACTGGAACTTGAAGCGACGCCGTTGGCGAGGCGACATTGCTGAGGCCATTGCGGCCTTGGCCCGCGCGTCCGGCCAGCAGCGGTTCCGCGGTGGCTGGCAGCGCCCAGGCATGGACATGAACAGAGGTGTTGACGCGAAGGAGTTGTTGGACTGCGCGGGCGCGTTGAAATGCTCATGACAATGGGCCCTCGCGGAGTACCCCCGCCAATCCGACGCGATGAACACGGCGGTCGAGCTGCAGCGCGCTGGAAATGTTCCCGGGCATGTTGCGCCAGCAACGGGTGCGAGTTTGTTTGCGCGGGCACCCGCAGAGCTGCTTCCACCTACAGGACAACATGCGCCCTCGCTCGGTCGAGACAGGATGCTTTCGAGAGGGCGCCGAGGAACGTCTACATACGCATGGACAAGACCACTCAAGATCCTTCGCCATCCTCACGGCCACCGCGCATTCCCCGGCGTTCAGGGGGGCGCAGAAAGCGCCGACGACGTCGAGGGCGAGGAGGATGATGTCATTGCCATTTGTAAGGAAATTGCCTTCAACCCCGAGACCTCGATCCCCCGCGCCGCCCCAGTGCTCAGCAATGGGGGGCAGTTGCCGGCTGACATGTACACGGAGTCAGATAATGGCACGGCATTAGCAGCGCGGGAGGGCCGAATCAACAAGACGCGGGAGACAGATCTGCCAGCCACTCGCATCGACATCGCGAAGGGGCGTCTGCTTCCCGCTCCCGCGGCGGCCCCTTCCCTGAAAGCGACGAGACAGGGGAAGCGAAAGGAGAAGCGAAAGCGAAAGGGGAAGCGACAGGGAAGCCAGCTGCAGCTAAACAAGCGAAGAAACCAGCTGGAGCCCTGCCCATCGACGACACGAATGGCAGAGAGGGCGACGACGAGGGGGCCCCCTGCAGGGCGCTGCAGATGGCCGACCACCACGAGACGATCAAGAGGTACATCAACGAGATCCCCGCAGCAGCGAGGATGACCTTCGCGGTTGGGCGCAAGAGCCACGCGTTGGAGACGCAGACGGCCGCGAAGTTCCAGGTCGCGCTGAAGAGCACGTCTCCCACGTCGCGAACGCGAACCCGGATGGTTTTGCCGCGGTGCAGAAATCGCGTCCAGATTGGCTGGTCGAGAAGAGCGTCAATGCTCAGCAGGGTGGCAGCCGCTGGCGCGACGACGCAGCTGCCGCCTTCGCCGCAGCGGCGGCGGCCAAGACGAATTTGGAAAGGATCAACGCTGAGCCCCACGCCCCGGAATCGTAGGGGTTGCAATGCTCTGGCAGAAAGGAGCCCGCCGACACAAGCAAACAGCTTTTGGGTTTTTCTCGCGGCCGTCCTCAGTTCAAGGGCTTGCTCGAGCCCCCCCAGCGATTCCCTGGCGATGTCCCAGGGTTTTCCCGGCCACGGCTATATCCAACATCACGTCTAGCAGCCCACATCTAACAGACTCTCTAACCGCATATTTACACACACACACACACACACACACATGTATGCATAAATATATACATATATATATATATATACATATACATATATATATATACATCCACGTGGAATGCTGATCTAACGCCTATTTCTAACAGGGGGTGACTGCCAGATATGCATATGAGTTGGGCCCGAATTGGGGCCCGACGCCCCTGAATCCCCTCCCCTCCCCTCCCAAATCCCCATCCCCTCCCTCATGTCCCAACTCCCGCCCTCCCAAGTCCCGTCCTATCCTTAATTGTCATAGCTTTAGGACTCGAGGCTCGATCAGTGACTGAAGTGCCTGAAGCCAGCAAGTTGATCTCAGGTGGGCCCGAAGCTCGCCCTCGATGCGCTCCCACATGCGGCTGCCGAGGCGAGGGCCTTGCTCGAGGGCGACGGGTGAGTTGTCGGCGCGGCAGGGATTGAGGGCCTCGACGGGGAAGTACGAGTGAAGGCGTTCAGCGCATTGAGCTCTACTCTGAAGTCGAAGTTCCCCGCAAAGCACTCGCAGTGCGCCAACCTCTCCTCGGACGAAGAACGACGCTCTTGGCTCGCCCAGCTTCACGCTGGGCCCAGCGACGGGCGGGGGCGCGGGCATGAGCACGATGTCCATCGAGTCGGCCTCTTCCGAGAAAACAAAAAAAATCGGAATGACCCTGGGCGCCCGCGCTGGCCCGCTATGCCTGGGCAATCTTGAGCGCGCCAAGTTGGCTGTGCAGGATTGCCCCAGCAAGCCCCGCCACCTGCTGAAGCTAGCTCAGAAAGGCGTGCTCGAGCACGAGGTCACCTTGTCATGGGAGGAGCACCGTCGAACCAAGAGGATGACGGTTGAGGTCATCGCTGAGGCGAAGCCCATCGCGGCCGAAGCGACGCAGGTGGCCGAGTCTACGCGAGGGCCCGCAGCCAAGAGAGGCCGCCGCCATGGGCCTTCAGGGCGCCGCGGAAGCCAGCCAGCCGCGATCGCGCCTTACGCCTGCTTGTTGGCATAACGGCATGCATGGGAGGCGTGCCGGTGAAAATCAGACCCCAAACCTATGGCCACAAGTAGGGGGCGAGTGCCTTCCAGTCGGAGGTCCTCGAAGGAGCGGACGGGGACACCATCCTACAGGCTGAGGGTTTTGGCGAAAAGGCTGGAAGTCCTGCCTGACCAGCGACCAAAGACAGGATTCCCCACGGACTCTGGGTCTAGGTTGCGTGCTGGGGGGAGCCAACAAGCACTGCATTAGGATGTGTTTGTTGCGGCGGTGGCGATCGTTCAGAGCGGGCGGGCATAGGCCAGAGCACATAGCATTGGACATGTGGGTGTCGTTTGTTGTTACGTCAACTCTTATCTCATGTTCACGGACAGCTATTTGTAATATATCACAGACGTTTGGGGACGCCCCACCAGCATGGCTTGCATCGCCGATGTGTCGTCATGCCGTCATCCCGTGCTCCTGGCCCACGTGGCTACGCTGTTCTCTGTTGTTCGCGGCATACCCCTCACGTTTTGACGTCATCCGTTGGCGTCTCATCTCGCTCGGGCTCCGTCCCGGAGCGGATCACTTTTTGTTGCACCAGATTGTTTTCTAGGCGATAAGTTTCCTGTGCATTTCCATGCGTGTTCGTGCACTTTGCGTCTGCCTAGCCGCGTCACTACCAAGACACATTGGCGGCCGTTGTTCTCATTTGCTTCGTCCCACGCCCCCAAGAATCCCATTGTGCTCCCTAATTAGATTCTGGCACGTAGGCCGATCTTCGGAGTGTTTCCGACGATCCCCCTAACCGCCCTTGACGCGACCTTCGATGGGCTTCATTGCCCCACCCCCGCGTTCGAGCACCGCTCCGCCCGTTGGCAGCCACCTCGGTGCGACGACCAGGTGCCCCGCCGGCGCCGAACAGCGGCGACTCTGCTTCCGCTGTCGTTCATCGAGCGCGTTTCAATACTCGCAAAGTGCCTACTCGCAAACGCCGGAGGAAAAGAAAAAAACTAAAAACATAAAAATCTGCTTTGATGCAATGTATCGTAGATCCCCCGCGGGGAATCCAGGCCATTTGCGAGTCGCTACTGTGCGAGTAGCAGAACGCGCTCGTCTAGTGGTTGACGGCTGCGCGCTGTCCCACTCGGAAGGTCATTGTCATCTACACGTTGCCGTTCTGCAGCAAACGCGTCGGCGTGCCAGCGGCCACCCGCGCCCCGACGGTCCCACAACACCCCGACGTGCCCGGGACTGCAGCGACAGCCCCGTGGGAACACGCAGCCCACGCCGCTCCGAGCGGCCGCACCGCTTCCCTCGTCATGCCTCGCGCTCCGCAGCGGGGGGTGTCGAGCCCACGCCTGCGTCGAGGAGGACGCCCTGGGGCCGGACGCGTCGAGGAGGACTTCTGGGTTTTCGAGCCCCGGCGGCGGCCTCGCGGGTGGGAGCGCACGGCCGGGGCGCCGGGGCGGGAGAGGGTGGGGCAAAGGGGCGGGGCAGGGGAGGGGGAGGGGAGGGCACGTGCGCGCCGTGCGCGCCGTGCCACACGCCGCGAGTCAAGAGTGAGCAAGTGAGACTTGCTGCCGCGGGAGCATGCTCCAGGCCGCCCGATGCCGGCACGTCGGGCGCCCAAGAGGGGAGCGCCCGGTGCGCAGGAGGGACGGACCCCCTCGGCGCGGGCTGCGGTTTCCCGCGCGTTCGGCTCGTCCGGGCAGGCTGTCCCCGCTCCCGCCACGGAAGGCCCCCGGAGGCCCCACTGCCATGCCTTCTTCGCCGTGGGCTTCTCTTGCAAATGTGCCTCGCCATTGGTATGTCGGGCCGGACGAGAGGGGGGTATTGGGAAGGGGGGGGGGTACGAAATTTGCTGCGCCCAGCTGGTTTCGGCCCCTCCGAGGGGCCCATTCCTCGACACACGGTCGCCTCCAGCGCCGGGAGGCGCCGGGAGAATCAGCTACCCGAGCTGATTCTCAAACCCCCCCCCTTTGCTATCCCCCCCTTTCGCCCGACCCGAGTATGGCAGTTGGCCTGTTACAGTGTGGTTCTCTTTGTCTATTCCATCAACGGAGACAGTCATTCCCGCATGCTTGCACAAGAATGTTCTGCAACTGCGCGGGCCCGGGAAAAAGCATATCCTGCAAATGACCCGGCACAAGCACGATATCGTCGCGCAGGTTTCTTGGAGTTTCTCTCTTTGCACACCATTGCCCCGCCCCTGCCCCCACCCCGCAGGAAGGAGGACAAAGACCCCGACAGGCAGACCGTGCTCGCATGTGGGAGAGGGACCAGCAGCAGTTTGTGTGCGTGGCGAGAGGAGGAGGCGGAGGAGGAGAAGGAGGAGAAGCAGGAACCAGAGCAGGAACAGCGACATGAGGACCAAGTAGAATGAGGTAACATTACACTATGGTTTGCATGAGAGAACGTCCTTCCAGAAGTTCCATAGATGCCCGCGTTTCCCATGAACCAGACATCCTGGGACATGTTGAAGCTGTTTCGGGAATTGCGGGAACGGTTCCGTGAATATCGCACCTTCCGTGAAGGCACCAGAGAAAATCCAGAGGCAAGACACGTCGTGAAGGTTGAGAGACAGAGAGGTGAAGCAGTTGTCGCTGGAGGGTGAGGAGGCATCCAAATTGGCGCGCCACAGCGGCAAGACGTGCTCACAGCCTCACCAGGCGCGTTCTCCCAGAGAGCCGCTGGACGCCCACAGGTAGCGCACGCGACCTTCCCAGATTTCTCAGAAGGCTCTCCTGGCACGCTTCACACACAGATGCCAACGTGTACTCGGGAGCTGGGCCTCCGCGCGAACCCCCGACAGATGGATCAAGATGCAGCTGCAGGGCGAGGGCAAGCCCAAAGTCATCGACGCCACCCGCGTAGTCTCGTATTTTGACTTCGACTCGCGGGGCGCCCTGTTCGATCGGGCCAGCCTGCCCGCCTTTTGCCACCCGGATGCCGCGTGAACTTGGATTGCAGCCCCGAAGTATCTCATTTCTCGTGTCGCGCCCCCTCTCCGCTGCTCCAACTCCACCCTTCCGCGCTGTCACTATTCCTGACGCTTCGCGTATCCCCGCTTGCGGTCTCGCGCCAATTATCTTTCGCTGTGCCCCAGCCTCGGTCATACCGGCCTCTGGACTTCTCCTTGCGGGCCGCGAATCAAAAAGTATCCCCGCTTGCTCCTTTGGCTGCTGGTGGTGGCGCCCCCCCTCCCAGGGCCGCCTCGCCCATCGCTGTTTGGGGCTGGTTTCCCCCCCCTGCGGCGGTCCGGTGCGGCCCTGGAGGGCCACGTGGCGTTCGTTGGCGGGCCCGGGGCCAGGGTGGAATGTGCCTGCGGCGGGCGTGGCCGGACCTGCGTCTGACGGCCCTCCTGTCTCTCACTGTGCAGCCCCCCCAAGCTCACAGCTTTGCGACTACATCACATCGCCCGTACCAACGCCACGTGCCCCGCGAGGTACAGCTCAACCTGTGCTCTTGGAGACCCTGATCGGGTCCGGTTCGCCTCGCGGCACCACTCCAGTGCACTCCATCTTTCCCTCTTCGCTGGCGATGCTCACCACGCCAGCGGGCTCCCCCACACCCAGTGGCCTCGCCGTGCCGGCACGCGCTGGATGGCTCACAGTCGCACGGTTACCCCCCGACACGGTGATGTGGTCTGACTGGGACTGGCTAGTGTGCTGAGTGGTTCAGCCTTCCGCAACAGGTACAGTCCTACAGGCCCACCTGCAGCCCCCCCTGTGCGTGGCACCACGGCTCACGTCTGCTCAGCCGGCTTGGCTTGCGCAGGTCGTCCGTTTGGAGCCTGGCGCCACATCGGCGACTCACTCCAATGGCCAGCTCGTCTTGACCTTGCACAATGACTTGCCCACCGTGGTCCGCGGGTTCTGTGTGGGTTTCGCCGTGGCCGCTTGAATTCTGGTCATTTTGTCCAGTGCGCGTGCCCGAGCTTGCAATACGCCAGTCAGTTCAGCTTCACCCAGCCTGCAGCTGCCGTCTGAGTGGGCCAGCCGGCGCGCCTGCTCTAGCCAATTAGCCTCGCCCGTGGCCCGGACGTTGCCTTCGCCGCCTGACCCTTGTCCCGTGGCCGCGACCAATCCCTGCTTGCGTGTCGTTTGGTCCCTTCTCGCCGCCTGCCCTCTGCTGCGCGGCCGCGACCAAAAAAAATATCCCCGCCAGTTTTTGCCGCTGGCGCCCTCGCCTGCGGTTGCGACAAAAAAAGTATCCCTGCCAGTGCAATTAGGCTTCGCCCGTAGCCCGGGTCGACCTCTGACGTTGCATGCGCCTTCGTTTGCGGCTGCCACGGAAAAAAAGTATCCCCGCCAGCCCTTCGCTACGGAGCGCGGCCCGCCCTAGCACGCTCGGCCTTCGACCCGTCTTCGCGCGCCCGCGGACCAAAAAGTACCCCCGCCAGCCCATCCAAAAAGAGAGACCAGGCGAGTTGCCTTGATCAGGAACGTGTAGCGTCATGGTCGAGTGGTTGCTTGTCGTTGCCTGCGGCGCCAGCCTGTATTACATCGCGCGTGCCTGGGGCCGCCTTGGTGGCGTGGTCGCCTATCACTGTTCGCCGTGCGTGCGTTGCTCTGGGTGCGCGAACACCGACGACGCGCGTGCTGGTCATGTAGCGAACAAGGAGCGACGACAGGCAACCCCTCAGCCAAGGCAGCCGCGGGAAGCGCGGGAAGTCCACGACGACGACGATGAGAACGACAGGAATCAATATCAAGACCTTTGCGATCTTTCGCTCTGGGGGCGTCTTGGAGGCCTGTTGGGGCCCTTTGGGGGCCCTCTTGGGGCGAGCTTGGAGGCCTCTTCGGCCTTCTTGGGACGCTCATGGGGATTTCTTCGGGCCTTCTCAGCTTCACCATCGAACAAAAGAAGTAATGAAGGCCTTACGGCCAGTGCCGCCGACCCTGTATGCGAGGAGAACAGGAGATGGAACAGGTGGACGAGGAGGGGGGGAGGCCTCTTGGGTCTTCCAGAGCCTCTTAGCGGTCTCTTGGGAGCCTCCTGAGGGCCTTTTGGGTCTTCCTGGAGGCCTCTAGGGGCTTCTTGAGTGCCTTTAGGGGCCTCATGGGAGCCTCGTGGGGCCTCCTGGGAGGCTCTGGGGCAGAAGCTTCCAAAGCTCCTGCCGAGTCCCCTGCCTGGGCACGCTCTGGGAGCCGTCTTGTGGGCCTCTTGGGCCCGTCTTGGAGGCCTCTTGGGCTGTCTGGGATCATCTTGGGTCGTTCCAGGGCCCTCTTGGGCCGTCTGGGACGAGAAGGCGAGAACACAAAAATCTGTCAAACATATGAAACACATGTTATTTGTGCCCTTTGGGCCCTCTTCGGAGCGATCTTGGAGGCCTATTGGAGCGTCTTGCAGGTGTCTTGGACCGTCTGGAGGCCATCTTGGGCGTCCGGCGTCTGGGATGGATAATTCTTCGATTCGGGGCCCTCTTGGAACGTCCTGGAGGCCTCTAGGGGCATTCTTGGCCCGCCTTGGTGTCGTGTGGGCCCTGGGGCCCCCCGGAGGGATGGCAGTCCGACCTGGGACCTTGCCCAGAGCCCCTCCAAGGACACCCCCCCGGGGAACCTCCCCGGGACTCTCTGGGACCCCCCCCCCCGCGGGAGGGATCAGAGGGAAGGAGCTTCCTGAGACTCAGCTACGACGTTGCTCAACTTCGCCTCGGCTGGCGCGCTTGAGGAGGAGGGCCCAGGGAAAGGGGGGGGGAGGGACGACAACGACGACGACGACGACGACGACGACGACAGAGGGAAGAGCGTCTCCCACACGCCGACTGGCTCGGCGGATTCGCCGATTTCGGGGCAATCGTGGGGCCCTTGTGGGGTCATCTTGGAGGCCTCTTCGGCCCTCTTGGGGCTCTCTTGGGGTCCTCCTGCGGCGCTCCTGGGGCTTTCTTGGGGCCTTCTTGGAGGCCTTGGGGAGCTTCGCCATCGATCAGAAAAAGGAATCCGCAGATTTCGGGCTCCTTTCGGGGACCGAGAAATCGCCTCTGGGGGGCCCTCTTGGGCAGATCTTGCGGCGGGTCTGGGACTGTGCTGAGGCCGCCTTGGAGCCCTCCTGGACCCTCTTGGGGCCATTGCATGCGACAGCGAGGTTGGTATCAGCGCGGAGCTCGACCCCCCAGACACGTGTGCGGTAGGGATAAGCCGCTGACATGCGGGGTGTACCCAAGGTGCCATTGGCCTGCGCATATGTGCTCTGATGCCTGCAGGAATCTGCATAGGCTGCTGCAGGAGCGCGACGTCTAGATGATCGCGCCCCCATGCTCCCATGCACTGGAGATCCCGATGCTGTCTGTATAATGAATCGGCCAGGGTTCGTGCGCGCTCGACCATTTGTGGAGGCCGGGCCGCTCTTCCATCTTGGAGCCATCCTGAGGCTCGAGAGCCCATCGGAAGAGAAGGCGAGAGGGCAAAAATCATTGCAAAAACACACGTGGATGTGAAGGATGTTGGCAGCCTGGGGGCCTCCCTCTGGAAGGCTCGGGGGGGCACGTGGGGCCGGCATGGGGCGATCAGGAGGGCTCTTGAAGACATGTTCATACAGTGGGGGCACATGCCAAGAAACACCATGCTTGCCTCCAGGGTGCCCTGGGTTTCTTGGATTCCGATGGAAAGCGGTCGAATGGTTTCTTGTGGGCAGGTCTCCACTGTACCCATCTTGAACCGTATTCATCTTTGGCTCTCTGGGGCCCCCTTGGAGCCACCTGGGGCCGAAAAGGACCCTCTGACACCTCGGGGGGGGTCCAGACCCAGGGGGGGATAAAGGGCACCCCTCTCCCCGAAGGGGATGAATGGGGTTAGCAGAACGAGCTCCTTAGACCACTCATGCCCAGAGGGCTGGAGGGAGTGTGTCGCAAGTGCTGTCTCCACGTTATACTACATTGTCGATGTTCCTGTTGGTTCATACTGGTCTCAAGCTGGCGATCTGTAAGGGTCACGCTCATGTTAAGGAGATCAGGAAAGAGAGGTACGGGTGCGTTTGCAGTTATTTGGGCACGCTCGTGGCGTTCAGCATCTGAGCGCGTGAAGGATTAGCGGGTCACCAAGTTTAGGTGATACGTTCGTGATCGATATGTGACGTTCATGGTGCTTTGGCGATTCGAGGAGGAGGACGACGCTGTAGGTCGCCGAAAGAAGCAGTCATTTCAAATTTGAAACAAGTCGTTTTTCGACGTGCACAGTGATATGGGTTACCTTCTCTCTATGGCGAGCCCCTCTCACTACACGGGGTTAACCACGGTTCCTCCAGCATTATGTGCCCTTGCATTATTCTTCACATTTGCCCCAACAGTTCATCCCTGCCCTCCCCGTCGCTCTCCCGCTCACCTACACGCCCCCCGCGCCCGCCACCCATTCCCCGCCACCCCTTCGTGTCCGCCACCACTCCCCTAGGGGACAACCGCAACCGCAACTAGGCGACACAGGTTAAACCGCCCGCGGGAGCATTGCAACCGCACTCGCCCGCGGACGCAATCGCAACCGCAACCAGGCGACACATTTCAACCCACCCGCGGGCGCACCCACAACCGCAACCAGGCGACACATTTCAACCCGCCCGCGAGGGCATCCGCAGCCGCAACGAGGCGACACCTTTCAACCCGCCCGCGGGTGCCACCGCAACCGCAACACGGCGACACTTTTCAACCCGCCCACGGGGCTAAAACTATGCGACACATTTCAACCCGCCCACGGGCGCAACCGCAATCGCAACCAGGCGACAAAGTTCAACCCACCCGTGGGCGCAACGGCAACCGCAACCATGCGACCCATGCCAAACCGCCCGCAGCCGCAACACCAACCGCAACCAGGCGACACATTTCAACCCACCCGCGGGCGCAACCGCAACTGCATCCGCAACCAGGTGACACATCTTAACCAGCCCATGGGCGCCACCGCAACTGCAACCACAACTAGGCGACACATTTCAGCCCGCCCGTGGGTGCAACCGCAACCGCAACCAGGCGACACATTTCAACCCGCACCCAGGAGCAACCGCAACCGCAGCCTTTTTTCCGTCGCGACGCGGCAGAGGCGATCCACTCGCGCGTGGAGCAAGTCCGGGCTGCGGAGTTGCCAATTGCCCCGCATGCAAGAGGGGAAGACGGGAAGGCAGGGGGAGGGACGCGGGGGGTACTCTCACGCGGCGGCGCGGCGGGGAGCGCGCGGGGCG